GCTCTATAACATATCAAAATCATACCTGAATGAGATCATCTGGCGCAACGGCCTTAAGCCTACTATATGAAACACATCAACGAGCCGGGCCTCCCCCTCTTGGGCGCCCTCTACTCACCTAAATACATTGCTGTGACACATCTGCCCGAAATCTGGGGAAATCTCTCACCATGTGGCTAGCATCTCCACACTCAAAGCAACCCCTCTACTGACGTGGCTGTGGGAACTGTGCGCTATGGGTACTCAGAGACCCATGAACACCTGAATCACTGTGAAGCTTGAAGCGCAAACTGAACTGGCTAACCCACGAACCTCCACCATGTCATACCCTACCTCCAGAATAAGGGCCAACAGATCTCTCCGGTCCACGAGGCCTCCTCGCCTCCCCGTTCTCTCTCCCTCCAGATCTCGTCTGTCCTCTTGGTCCTGGTCCCATATGCCCTCTAACCGACGAGCGATCCCTATTACCTGCTCAAGCGAAACATCTGACTCCAACTCTCGAGCCATGCTGAACCGAAGTGACTGAGGTACAAACCCTCTCAAAACATTTCTGAGAACTGAACCCATGTAAGTGAAACTGCATCGGCCGATTACCCAACTCATATGTCCACCAACACTAATAAGCCGCTCCGTCCAGCTGGAACAAAGTAAAAGCAACCCTACTCGTCTTTCTGATACCCATAGTGCTGATAATGCGATGGCACTCCTCTATGAAACCCATTGTGCTCTCTTAAGCCAAACCGCTGAATGTAGGAGGTTCACTCTTTCTCGAACCTTGCAAATTCTAAGTTGTTCTCCCTCGGATGCTGCTGCCCTGACCATGGGCTGAACTGGAACAACAAATCGTGTCGCTATGACGCCTGGAACCTGACCAACAGAAACTCGCTGCTCTAAGTGTGGTCTAGCTGCGGCACGTACTCCTCGTCGGTCTTTGCCTCTAGCGATACCTGCTCCGGAAGCAGCGCCATCGATAACCGCAGCTCGTGTCCTCACCGTCGGTGAGAGAATGGAAGGATAAAAGTTCAAACTCCAAGATCGATAAGCTTGCACGATAAGAATGAAGGAAGTGAGATTCTCCTAATAGTTCGTAGCCTCTCGAAGATAAGTACAGACGTCTCAGTACCGATCCGCAAGACTCTACTAAACTCGCTTATGACTCGTAGCACCTATGAACCTAGAGCACTGATACCAACCTGTCACGACCCAATTTCCCCTCCGTTGGGTTTCGTGATGGCACCTAGTCTTAATGACTAGGTAAGCCTAATAATTGCAGAATAACAACAATGAATAATAACATCTAAAATTCTTCTGAAATAAATCCCTTATACAATGAACATCTTCCCAAAACCCGGTAGTACAAGTCATAAGCTCTATAGAGTTTCCCTACCATTTCTAAACACAACCGTATGGAAATAAGTACAGCAGTGAGAATATAAAATAGGAAGGTGACTCCGAAGCCTGCGAACGCAGCAGCAGGGCTACCTTGAGTCTCCTCGGCAAGAATCCGCACAGCTACTAGCGAACAATACCTGGATCTGCACAAAAAAAATGTGCAGAAGTGTAGTATGAGCACACCACAGCGGTGCCCAGTAAGTATCGTATAAAGCATATAGAGGTAAATTATGCAATTAGATAACTCAATCATAACAGAATACTTCCCATATGATGAATATAAGGACCGAAGAACCCTAAAGGCAATTTTTCCACAAATAAGCCCGAGCACACACTTGTCACCTCGCGTGCACAGACTACAATTAGCATGGAAGACTCAAGTCCTAAGGGAAAGTCTCCCACACAAGGTTAGGCAAGATACTTACCTCAAAGACGACAAACCGATACTCAAAAATGCACTTCTCGGGTGAAAGGACCTCCGGACTGCTCAAATCTAATCAAATTAACTTCAAAGCACAAATAAAACACATAAGAAATTATTCCGGATCATAAAGTCTCAGTCTTTAACAAAATCCAAAATCGGTCCAAAAGTCGACCCCCGGGCCCGCGCCTCGGAACCCGACAAATTTTACAAATAAAATCCGAATACCCATTCCAATATGAGTTCAACCATACAAAATTTATTAAATTCCGATATCATTTGGCCCCTCAAATCACGATTTTTCATTTTAGGAATTTTCTTCAAAAACCAACATGTTACTCAACCCAAATCACAAATTAAATGATAAAAATGAAGACAAATTCATGGAATATGTTTGATTCTAGGTGAAGAACACATACCCAATCAATTTATGTAAAAAGCCCTCGAAGAATCGCTCAAAACCGAGCTCCACAAGTCAAGTTATGGTGAAAATGGTGGAACCCTTGATTTTGGGATATATTTGGTCCGCCCAGGCATTTGTGCATCGCGAACGCGAAGGAAGTATCGCGTTCGCGAAGAAGAGAATGAAGGCTGCCCAGGTTACTCAACGCGAACGCGAAAATACGTCCGCGAACGCGAAGAAGGAAAGTCTGTTGGCCCAAAGACTGCTCTTCGCGAATGCGTGAACTAGTACGCGAACGCGAAGTGTGGGATGGCATAACTACGCGAACGCGATGGACTGATGCGAACGCGATGAATGAAGAGACAGAGCTACGCGAACGCGAGGATTTTTATGCGAATGCAAAGAAGGAAAATGAGGCGACCAGCAGAGACACTTCGCGCACGGGGAGGGGCTTCGCGAACGCGAAGGAGGATATCAGATACCAGAAACAGCAGTTCAAAAATAAGGAAAAATGGCCCGTAGCCCACCCGGAACACACCCGAGGCCCTCGGGACCTCAACCAAACATGACAACATACCCCATATCATCATTCAAACTTGTTGCAACCTTCGGAACGCTCAAAACAACATCAAAACACCAATTTAACATCGCATTCAAGCCTAAGTACTCCAAAAACTCTCAATTTACGCTTTCGATCAAAAAGTCTATCAAACCTCGTCCGAATGACCTGAAATTTTGTACACACATCACATTCAACACTACGGAGCTACTCCAACTTCTAGAATTCCATACCGACCCTCGGATCAAAATCTCACTATCGAACCGGAACTTCAAAAATTCAACTTTCGGCATTTCAAGCCTAAATTAGCTACGGACCTCCAAAACACAATCCGAACGCGCACCTAAGTCCAAAATCACCATACGAAGCTGTTGGAATCATCAAAAATTCATTCCGGGGCCGTTTACTTAAAAGTCCAATTCCGGTCAAATTCTCACCGCTTAAACTCCCAAAACTAGATTCCTTCTTCCAATTTGACTCTGAATCATTCGTTAACTGAATTCAACCATACACGCAAGCCGATACTCGTATTATGAAGCTGTTCCAGACCTTATGCCGCTGAATGGAGCTTAAATTCTTAAAACGACCGGGTCGTTACACCAAGCCCAAGACCGTAGAAATACACCGGATACGTTGTTGTTATTGTGTTCCAATCTTTGCATATCTAAACCGTTACCAAAACCATTTGTTATTGCAGATCTAAAAGGAGTGAATTGGGGTTAAATTAATATTCCTAAATTGTTTCGAGCATTGCAATAGGGAATAGGTAGTTGAACAAACTCTTACCAAACGGCAGCACTCGGCAGCCACATATTTGACATTTGGCGCACTCTTATCTCATTAAACTCCTAAACACATAGGTGGAGTTAGGATTTCAAATGTATGAGTTCGAAATTTTAATCGCATTAAGTTACTAGGTTTTAAATTAATAATTTATATGTATTCAATAAAAAATTTAAGACAAATACATGGTTCGAACTAAAATTATTGGGTTTGATCGAACACATGTTCGACACTCTAGTTCCGCCCCTACTAGCTACACAACCCAATGATTGCAAATGATTGATAGTGCATGTGCTTTTCAATTCTTGATCAGTTTATTAGAGTCGGATTTAGAATTCAAATATAGCAAGTTTGAGTTAAAATCAATCATATTTCACGTCAAATATGCACAAAGATCTCATTGTTTTACATAGGAATAATAAGGAAATCTTTATTTTAGTGATCACAAGCTTATAAGATTCACTAATTTAAAAGATACATTACCTTTTCATTGAATATGTCAATCTACTACCTCAAATTCTCAAGCATAAATGGATAACTTAATTGCATCCAATTTGATATCTTCCTATACGATCTCGTAAATACAGTCAGATTTCTTTATAACAACATCCTTATATAACAGTCATTCATTATAAAAGTTATTTTTTTCTCGAGCCAATGTTTATATTATGTTACTCTATAACAACACTTCACTATATAAAAAAGGGCAACCCGGTGCACTAAGCTCCTGTTATGAGCGGGGTTCGGGGAAGGGCTGGACCACAAGGGTCTATCGTACGCAACCTTACCCTACATTTCTGCAAGAGGTTGTTTCCACGGCTCAAACCCGTGACCTCCTGGTCACACGACAACAACTTTGCCAGTTACGACAAGGCTCCCCTTCATATAACAACATTTCACTATAGCAGCTAAAAAATATCGGAACAAATAAGGTTGTTATAGATAGGTTTGATGGTATATAATTTGGCAATGAATAAAAGCTTTATTTATTAATTCTCATTTTAAAAGATTGTAGGAATTTGCTTTCCAGCGAACGTCATGCCAATGATATTGTCAAGATTCTTTTATCGGGATACTTATACTACAGTACTAGTATTAATTATTTTGGATTTATAATTTTTTTAAGGTTAAATCCGTCTTCACAATTATTTATCTGATTTAAATTTTTTTAGTTTATCTCAAAAAAGAATAATTTATTTTTATACTCATAAATAATTAAATTTTAAACTTCTTATTTACGCTTTATGAGATTATGTAAGATTTGATTTAGACCACGAATTTTAAAAAATATATTTTCTCTTTATAATCCGTTCCAAATCAAACTGCACCATATAAATTCGGACCGAGGAAGTAGTTAATGGAGAATCTGATCAATTCTAATTTATTTTTTCTGATCCCTTTAAAGTATTTGCATTTTATTGAATAAAGTAATACTCTAACAATGAAGTCATAAAATGCACGTTTCATTTAGAGGAATAATATGAATATTACAGGAAGAGTACTAGAGAGCACAAGGAATTCAAATGATTCTTTCTGTAGGTAATTATATAGACTCAAAATAGCAGTGATTTAAAACGTGGACGAATAAGTTAAGTATACAACTTGAGTTACTTAATATATATTTAAAGAAAGCAAGGTCCAAGGCAAAATGTTTTTGCACTTTTTTGCAACCAAGTGAATCTTTTCTGTCTGCTTATTGACGTCTCAATGAGGTGTTAGATTTTGCATCCTGCATGTATACACAGACAAACAGAGATAATTAGAATAAATTAGCTAAGAAACTTGGACTAAAGACATTCTTAAAATAAAATGCATGCAAAACACAAATTTAATAATATTCGGACCAACTTGCACATACATCGATTATTCAATTGAGCATTTGTTACCTTCCATTAGTATACATATTAAGTAACTCTGCCACCGGTACAAATGTCATTGGTATCAATAGAAGCGAATCTAGAATATTGAATTTGATGGATTAAATATTTAAGTTTTCACTACTGAATTCATTGCATTTCTGCAATTATGGATTCAAAACTTGGTATTCTTTCAAACTTTGATTTATTGATTTTGCACATATATATTTATACTTCGTAAAAAAATACTATGTTCAGCTAAATCCTTGAGGAATAAATTACTTCTGCCCCTGTCACTATTAGGATGCTCGTGTTAAGAATGTGTCATAGCTATGTCCCCTGTAGGAAGGTGACCCCTCAACCTAACCCCACTACCCCCACCACCATTGCTTTAATTTGTAGACAAAAATGTGATCTAATTAGTTTATGACTTCACTTTAGCACTAGTACTATGTTTTAATGTTAGGTATACTTGCATGGTTTGAAGTAATATCCAATACCACATACACTTTTTGTGTTTTGAGGTGCAAAAATATACCACGACACTTGATAGACAATTAATTTTGAAAGGTCTCTGGACGTGCGAGTAAAGTGTCACATTAGCACCTAAGAAAACTACATATAAGACGTAAGCAGTGACGAAGTCTGGAATTTCATCTAGGGTGTTCGAATTTGAAATAAGTAAACAAAAATCCCCAATAAAGGGTGTTCAATATATGTTATATACCATTAAAATCTAATATTTTACTTATATATACAGTGTAATTTTTCGATGAAGGGTGGTCAGCCTTAGGGCTATGTACCTCCGCCCTGGGTGTAAGACTTTCTTAGTGGTGTGGATGTTTTTGAGGAAAATCGTGTGAGTTTAGCTCTTATAAAGGAGTTATTTTTGGATGGTTGGGCCCAACACCAACTCTACTAGCGCACGAGTCTAAAAACTTTCAATTCTGTCAATGCGTACAACTTAAATCCGTTCTATTATGACATGATCAAAGAGAATCGGAGTCACTTACCTTTTGATGAAGTTATTGAGATGTTGTATGGCTTCCTCGAGTAGTAGTCTTGTATTTGGGGAAGGGCACTCTACCACTCTCAATGTACAAAACATCTTGCACAAGGATTTCATAGTGTCGTTTCACCTCTTCAGCAGTTTTTCCTCCAACTGCTTTGGCAACATTGGACCAACGATCACAAGTGTCTTTGTCATATACTGCCAATGCCTTCTCAAATGCCTTGTTCTGTTTTACTGTCCAAGAGCCAGAGCCATGTTGTGAGGACATTGAGCTCATTTTCTATCTCTATTTGCTAATTACAAGATATTTGAAGTCAATTTGTTGAAAGGAAGAGCTAACAAGAAGAAGAGAGTAAGCCGAGGAGAGTAAGCTTTGAATTGTTTTGTGAAAAAAGAGGTGGCAAAGAGCTGCTTATAAAGGGAGTGAAAGGGTTCCTTAGGGCAGAGGCAAATTCAGGATTTGAAGGTCGTGGATGTAATTTTGCATTCAATCAAAATCTGCTCTATATAAAGAGTGCTACTACTAATATATTACTATTTTATAAGTATATGTACATGTATACATAAAACATTTGTCGAACTTTTCGGGCACCAGTGACCTCTCTCTAACATAGGTCTGCCTCTGCCTTAGGGTGTGGCGTAGTGGTCAATGATGTGAGTGAAAACTATGAAAAATCAGAATTTGAATTCGAGCAAAGAAAAGAACACGCTAGATGATTTTTTTTTCTGTATGCTCAAATTTTGACGAAATTATACGGTATATACCTCTCGTCATGAAAAATAGCTGCAAATACCTCAAAGCATAATCAAAGTGCGTATAAGTTGACTCGAACACCACTGTTATGCCGCCCCCCCCCCCCCCCTCCCAAAAAAAAAGGAGTGAGAAGGGGCCCAAAATTTATTGCAATAATATTCTGATGATTTGTTTTCTTAGGAACCACAAGAGGAGCAAGGGAAAGGGAAAGAACATTCACATAACCATGAGTATGAAGAATCAGTATCCTCCGAACCAAGTTTTTCAGTTACACCTCTCCACTTAAAAAAATCTTTATCTATTAAATTTGAGTAATAGTACGATTATTTGCTCAAATATTAGATTTGTTTCTAATAGTGTAATAGCAGCCACATAAACAGGGGTGGAGCTAGAGGCGGAGCCAGAATTTGAAGTTTATGGGTTTAGAATTCTAGTCTGTTTAAGTTATTGGGTTCGAAATTAATAATTTGTACATATTCAATAAATTTATTCAAAGAAATATAAGGTTTGGATTAAAGCTACTGAGTTCGGTCGAACTCGTAACATGTGTTCTAGCTCCGCCCCGGGGTAGAGCTAAAGTGATGCTTGCAGTTCGGAAGAACCCAGTTGCTTTGGACTAATCTCTATATTTATGTTAAAAAGTCCACCTAACATATATATATATATATATAATATTTATATATATATATATATATATATATATATATATATATATATATATATAATAAATCCAGAATTAGTAAGCCATCTTTTCTAGAATTTCAAACTCATAAATTCAAAATTTTAGTTACTACGCATAAATTAAGCTTTTACTAGTAAAAAGGATAATTCGGTGTACTAAGCTTTAGTTATATAAAGTGTCCGAAAAAGAACGGGACCACAAAAATGTATTGTACATATTCTTGCCGTGCATTTCTCGTATTAAACGTAATAACTTTTACTACTAGTACTTAAGCTTTATTGGTCCTTTTCATCCACATATAGCATATGAATAACCTTAGCCTATTGGGACTTATTCACATGGTTGGTTTATGGGGGATTGCGTAATAACTTTAAAATAGTAATTAGATGAATTAGGTAAGTTAGTCCCTTTAGGCATAAGCAGACCACTTGTCCAAAAATATCTGCACAAAAACCTCAACACTATATATATATATATATATATATATATATATATATATATATATAATTTGATACATCAATCGAGAATCATTATCATCTGTTTTATATATTCCAAAAATATGGACTCGCAAAAATGAGATGGGACCCGAATTCACTCGCTGTACGTACAGCAGGAGCTTTCACGAGATTGCCACAATGCTAGTAGATACAGAGTACTTCAGTCTGAGAAGCAGATTGCCTAAAGATATCGGAAATGGCGAATTCAGAATTTTTATTAAAAAAGTCCAAATATAAGAAAATAAATTTACGACAAAAATATTTACAGGGGAGGATATGGGAATAGTTACATTTCTTCGCTCCTTAATTAAATGTCTCGGATTTAAACTTTGAGAATAAAAATCTATTTGCTACGAATTATTTTGTGAATCTAGAGTAGTCGGGTCAAGATGATCAAAGAAAAAAAACTACCTATCTATCTGTAAGTGATGATCTTTGAGTACACATTTTGTGATGTGTACTTAAATTGAAAATAACATTTCAAGATTGTAAAGCTGCCCAAGTCCTGGCAGTCCGTACAATTATTGTATGATGTTATCCTGAAACTTGTGTTTTCTAGCAATATAATAGTACAAGAAAATCCAAGCGTTGTGTCTCTCCTGATTGGCTTTTGGTCAGCAGTCCGATAATATAAACATGAACCAAAAAGAAAAAGAAAAAAAAGGGGAAATGGAAGCCTTCTGATTATTCTTGTAACCTACATATTGCTACAAGACATGTTCTCCAGATTTTTCCTTTGCTTTATTACTACAATATTATGCATATAAAATTAAGAAGGACATTGTAATAAAATATGAAACTTTTCATGGCTAATCTTAAGCTTCAATGACTTTTTTCGTAGAATATCGTAGCAAGAAACAGTGGCGGACTTAGAGCGTTGTATATGGATTTGCAGCCACAAGATGTTGATTTATTTGCCCAGAAAATTCAAATTTGTGGATATGTTTTATGTTTTAGTCCCGTGACAATAGTATTTATTTAGCTAGAGACTCAAAATCTTCTCCAATAAGGATCACGAAGTATCAATTCGTAGGCTAGCCTTTTCATCAATCTTGTGATCAGATATTTTCTCTGTTAATTTTATGAATGGTCACTCAACTTCACCAAAATTGACGGCATTGTAAAATTCAAAATTTTATATTTGGTGTTAGGTATGAAGTCTACCACATTGAGTCATTGACCATACAGTCGTGAGTAATAATGACCAATCATTGTGTACCATCAAAACATGAAAGGTAGGCATATATATGAATGTGGGGTTATTTAACCTTGATAAGATGATTTTTAATTTAGTCAATTATCAACAGACCTAAAAGGGTTTGCATTAATGGGGAAGGAGATAAATATCTTGGAATATTGAATATGAAGGGACAGCAGAAACAGAACGTTTGCAGGGCAACACCATACAATTTGATGCACTCAAGTGGATAATACTAGTTCTATTTTACGGTCCTATAAAGGATATGATGTAAACAGTCTATTTTGAGGTAAATATTTATGACTGCTTTTACGGCTTGAATTTGTGACCTATAAATCACACGAAGATAATGTTACCGTTATTTATAATCCTATATATGATGGCTAAATTAACCTCCCAAAATAGACTATACTTCAAGTCCTTTTCTTCCTTTGTACAAATCCATTCAATCAACTTTTAAAATTGATTAGAGTTAAATTGCACCAATTGGCTGAATGGAAAGATTCTGTGGCCGGTGCCTCTTTCATTCTTCATGATATCATGATATGGGGCGGATTTAGGGGCGGTTCGAGTTTACTCAAACTCTCTTCGTCGGAAAATTACACTGTGTATATAGGATAAAATCTATTTTGTGCCTCTATATATTACTACATTATACTCTTGATACAGCCTAAAAGTATAGCTTGATGGTCAAGAGATTCAAAACCTTGTTGAGGTTGTTGGTTCAATTCTCATTAGCCACAATTTTTTTAATTTTTTTTTCTTTTAAACCTCCTTAGCGAAAATCTTACCTCCGCCACTATTCATGATGCCACTCTTTTCATTTTTCAAGAACCCCTTATACCATGCAATTCAAGAAGAAAGAAAAACAATTCTTACATTAGTGGTGGTGTACACAATTTTGCGAAAGCTGTGTCGACTTATTATTACAATTTACATGAAAATTTGATTTGATGAAGCTGTAAAAACTCTATGATTTTACTTCCTATTTCAAATTGATGTGTATTTAACTTTATTTTCAACTAGTAAAGTTTACGATAATACTCCTTAATTTTTCTTTTTTGTCTATCACCGGTGTCCAATACTTATATTAGAACTCGAACTAATTCGAATTCACGCCACATAAGATCCATTAAAAAGGGAAGTATTCCTTAACGCAGATGATGACACCCCCCCCCCCCCCAAACCCAAGCAGAATGTGTCTCCGCCATTCCCACTTGTGGAAGTATATTGAAAATTATTCTATAGCCACTTGGAAAACTAGTTATAAAGATTCCCTGCATATTGCATGTTAAAATAACACAAAAATTGTTCATCCATTTACAACAATGTTGATTAATAATAATATTTAAAACAATCCTCATGGTCATGGATGAGAATTCCTCAAAGCTTCTTACCATAAACAAACTTTAGGACAAATGAAAGTGATTTATGGCCCTCACTTGTATTGTATCCAAACAGGGGTTATTTGCTTATGATTAGTTGAAAACTACTGGAGCAAGTGTTGGCGAATATTCCAAAGTAAAAGACAATTAAATTTAAAGAATTTAAATACGAATTTCTGGTGATATTTATAGTATTCCATTTTTGTGAAGCAATATTTGTGGAGTCCTTTCCTTTCTCGGCTTCCTAGCTAGTAGGGTGGTCCATTTTTATAGCCTGAAGTCTGCGGACTTTGTATGATGGTCCAAACTCCAGGCCATATTCTTAGGATTTCCTTTCAACTTAATTTTGAACTGCTCTTTAAAAACTTAAAATAGATTATTAAGTACTAGTAATCTCAAGGAATCTAGGAAATACTTGTTGGAAAAGAAATAAAAAGTGAATAGTATCTCAAAAGTAAAGAATCTTTTTATTGGTTAAAAAAAGTTTTTTCCTCCACCTCATATAGAATCGCATATTTTAGTGGAACAGTAAAGAGCTAGTAAAGGGATTGGATTTACGTGTGCCATAATTAGACGAAAAAGCAAAAAATGGTGAATTTGTCAATCCTGCAAGCGAGATAGACATGTAGGAGGCTCGATTTGAGTCACCTTTTATGGAAAAATTAGTTGTTATATATGTACTGATGTTTTATACTTCAATACCACACGAGAGGGGTGATTTGTGTGGTATCCAAATTTTTGCTTAAACTAATTATGGAAGGACCTGGTTCTTCTAAAGGTTCCTTAACCTACTATTGCAGAAATAGTAAATCCGAAAAGTAAAGAACACAAGTATTTTATGTGGAAAATACCTGGCTCAAAAGGTGAAAAAACTACGACCTA